TTCACAGATCCTCAAAAACAAAACAAAACAAAACAGTGAGCCCCCATAATAAGAAATACTGCCCTACTAAATGGGGAAGGCTTCTGAAATAGTGGTGAGATGTAAAATCGAAAAGCTGTACTTTGAAGAGATTATAAAATCACTAATTGTGGCAGTGACTCTCAGATTACCTACCACAACCACCTGCATCAGTCACCTGGGGCTCTTGTTTCAAATTCACATTCACAGCCCCCATCCAGACTCGGTGAACCAGAATCTCTGGGGGCAGGGCCTAGACACTCCATATGGAGTATATGATAGGTCAATATTTTGAAATTTTACACGACTTTCCCATTTGATTGATAATTCTGCAGAATTTTATGTGGAAAGCATATTCTTTCAGAATTTCAAACACATTGTTTCATTGTCTTTGAGCTTTAGATGTTGCTGTTGAGAAATCTGATGACATTCTGATTCGTGATACTTTGTGATTTTTTTTCTCTCTGGAAGCTCTTAGGATCTATTCTTTGCCCTTTCCTTCTGAAAACTCCTGTCCTTCATTCCTGGAATTTTTCTTGAATTACTTAATTGATGATTTCTTCCCATCTGGAATGCTCTTCCAATTTTCTTTCTTTTTGAATAGTATTTTTGTGTTACTTTGCTCAAATCTTCTGTGATTTTCCCCTCATTTCTGTGATCTTCTTTCTAATTTCCAAGAACTCTTTCTAGTCCCACCCTGCTTTTTAAAAATTTCATCCTGTTGTGGCTTCATCTTCTCTTGCCTTTCTGGGGATATTATTGAGAGTTTTTTTTTTTTTTTTTTTAATGTCCACCCTACAATATTTGTTTCCTCCATATTCCTTTTTCTGTTGTTCCTTTTATATTATTCAATTGTCTTGTTTGTTGTCCATGATTAAAAGTAAGAGATAAAAAGTAAAGAGGGAGCTCTGAGTGTTTCTGACTTTAAATTTTGCTACAGGATGATCTGCAGGCATGTTGTCAATATCTTTGGTCAGGCACAAAGTCAGTTATATCCTATTTTAGGTATGGTACCCGAGCAAGTACCAGAGAATTCACCCTCCCCAGAGCATTAAACCTCCAAACTTCAGCCTGGGTGGGAGAGGGGCAGCTGCCCAGAGACATAAGGCTGGAGAAAGGATCTAGAGATTTCACTGCTTCTCAAGCAGCTTTCACCTATTCCCCTTTATTTTCGGACATCCTAACCTCCATCTCCCCTTCACCCCTAATTCCTGAGGCACCTCTTGTAGTCCCAGAACCTGTTGAAGATTCTGGTTTAAATTGCGTTGTTTCTCAAGTTTCCACACTGTTGGGGCCTGGGACACTTACCCCTCATACTTGTGCTTTCAAGCTTCCAAAATGTTGCTGTCATCTCCCTTCCCTTGTAGGTTGAGGTTTTCACTGGAGTTTAAGCATGGGAGGAGGCGAAATTAGAGGCCGTATTCGAGGCCTCGAGGCTGTCTTAATTCAACAGATATCTGTATGTTCAAAATCTTTGGGCCATTCCAACCATGTAGCACAGTCATCCCTTCCAAGGCATCCTACTTCTCCATTTTGAGGACTCCCTCCAGTTTCAGACTCCACAAGGAAGACACAAACAACTATGACACAGAGCCAAAGAGAGGCATATAGATGGTAGGCGATATACACTTGAGTCAGCTGTCTGCCGGGCACCGAGGCCCCGGCTCCCTGGGCTCGACATGCTAGGTTCACCGCGGCCTCGGCCTCTGTCCCTCTCTCCTGCAGCCCCAGATCCCCTGGACTTGGCGACAGCCCAGCCGGGGAGCTCGGCCCGGCCCCTCCCCTCCCGTCCATAAAGCAGGCGCCTCCAGGGAATCCGGGACAGCTCTGCTGATTGGTGAGCAGCTGGCATGGCCTGGCCACAGTTCCGGATCCGGTGCCTCGTTCCCTCGCTGCACGGGGCCCTGGGGCTGGCTCCTCTGCTGCCGCCGCTGCTCCTGGCGCCAGGCCCCAGCGCTGTGCCGTCCCATCACCCATCGCCCATTGCCCCGACTTCGAGGTCAGTGGTCTCTCTCCCCTGACGCTTCGGGTCTGGTCCTCAAGGCCCTAAGAGGAGTTACAGTAGAATAACCGAGCCCGAGAAAGAGGTGTTGGGGGCGCAAAACCAGCTTTGACCGCTCACGGAGTGGCCTTTCTGTCCACAGATTTCCTTCAGCCTTAAAGATGAGGAAATTTTGGCTCAGAGAGGTTGAGTAACTCCTCCCAGGTCTCACAGTAAGTATTCCAACCCAGATCTGACTCTAAGTGCAAGTTCCTTGCATTGCCCTGCTGTGCCTCTCCCCAGGCAGTCTGGCCAGATAAGCAAGGAGGCTGGTAAGGAGATACTCCCTAAGTAGCAACACCCATTGGTTTCCAAGAGAATTGAGGATGAGTTTGAAAGAATCTCAGCACTCCCGCGGTCCAGTGGAAGACTGAACGTTCTGCTTACTTTGCTTTTCTATATCTGCCACACAAGAAGGGGGATAAAAATAGGTCTTTATGTAAAAATTCCATCTACCCACCTAAGAATTTATAAGGCCTTGGGCAGCTTTAAGCAAACACCCTTTCGGAGGTAATGTGAAGACCACTTGTCTGCCTAGAGTTTGATGACTGCACCAGGAACTGGACACATCAGGCAGGTGGAAAAGTTCAGTCCAAAAGAGCAATTCTTGTGTAAACATAGCGACAATTGCCAGTTCTTAATCTAGCAGATTACATTTGAGGCAGGGACATTTAAATGTCAGTTAAAAAAAGTAATATAATTGCTTAGAAGAAGTAAAAACAGTGGAAGTGTTTATGGAGAACCTGCCTAGTGTGTAAGCCTAACATCTGAAAGACTTTCTGCACCCAATACCTCTTAGTCGGTTAGGCAGCATCTGTGGGCATTTAGAAAACCAATTATGCAAAGAAGCCAAATTTTGTTCATTTGTATGCTGGTGGTTAATGGTCTTTTCTCTCTACTGACCTATATTTTTCAAAGACAAAGACTAGACTGCATTACTTTTTCCCTTATATATTCAATTGGTTCATCACGCTATTTTTTAGTATTTCTATTAAATCACAGGCTCTCTGTATATTTTTAACATATTCAATCTTAGTTATCAGAATTGAAATAGGGGTAAGGTTTGTGACATAAATATGATTCTAAGAAGTCTAAAAACAATGGGCTGTTCAGTTTCACATTTTGTAATTTTTATTATTTCAGTGGGTAACTGAAATGGGTTATGCACAGTTAATTCTGAAAAATAAACAAAAAACCAAAAAGGAGACAGAAAATTAGGAAAAGCCTGGTTTAATTTTTTAGAGCTAGCTCTCTCCACCCTCACCCATCCATTCTCCTCACAGTGGCTCAATGATCATAGATATCGCTCTCCCTTTCTCTCTCTCCCTCTCCCTGTGTGTCTGTCTGTCTCTCTCATTTTTTAATGCAAATCTTATGATCCTCTGCTTAAAATACTTTAATGCTTCCCATTCATCTCAGGAGAAAATAGAAACTCCTCAGTGGTCTACAAAGCTCTACTTGATCCTGCCACCACCTACCTTAGTAGTTTCATCAGTCTCACCTGTTTCCACATACTTTCAGGATTTCTGTGCTCCAGCCTCACTGACCTTCGATTGGCTCCAGAAATTCAGAATTCTCCTGAGGTATTGAGACCTTTGCCCTTTTTTGTTCCCTCTTCTGAGAGTGCTCTTTTTTGTGCATTGGTATCCCTCCTCTGTCCCCTGTCTAGGTCACTGCCCAGATTTCAGTCCTCCCCTAAAGAGTGTAGTCCTCAGGGAAGTTTTCCTGCCCTACCAGGGTCGCAGGTCCCCTTTATACGCTGTCATGGTGCCCTGCATTTCCATGTAGCCCTTAACACTATTGCATTAAATAACCAATGGACCTGGTCTGTGTCACTAATGCCTAACAATATACCCTGCCTATACCTTACTGGGATTCAATAAATATTTGCTAAATCAATGAATTAACACCTTATTTGGGATAAAGTAAAAATGATCAGTGCTTCTAATATTATCTGTGGAGAAAAAAATACAGGAGAAACATAACATCAACCACCTTAGTATTTAACTTGAGTACTAGTCTAAGAAGTAAGGTTCACCAGAAATCATTCATAGTAAATGCAGTATCTATGAGTCCATCTGAAGCGGCCAGAAACTTGAGTATTTTCAACCTCCTCCCTTTCTCTTACCTTACTCATTCAGTGGGTCAGAGTCCTGTTAATTTTGCCTTCTTAGGATCTTCCAGATTTATTCATTTATCTCAGAGTCTCCGCTGCTCCACAACTTTAGTTGAGGTCACCATCATCTCTTGCCTGCATTCTTCCAAAGCTTTCCTATTAGATATTCTGCCTCCAGTTTTGCCTCTTTAAACCATTTTCCACTTCAGCTGAAGGGATTTTTCTAAAATGCATACCTGAAATATGTATATTCTCTTTTTAAAACCCTTTCCCTTGGGATAATTTCTCAAGAGGGTTTCAAGGTCTTTCATGATTTAACCCTGCCTACCACCCTCAGGTTCTTCACTGTTGTCTCCCTCCAAATTTTAGGCGTCAGCCATACAAACCTCCATGCTCTGCCTCCAGGCCTTGACACTTGCCCCTATTTTTTCCTAGCCTACCCTCTCCTACTTTCCAGGCCCCACTAACTTCCTCTGCCACCAATTAATTGGGACCCCTATGTCTTATTCACTGTTGTACTCTCAGTGCCTGGCATATGATCAATGTTTAATTGTTACTTTGGGTGCATGATGACCCTTAGCTAGCCATAGTCCATGATTTCTTCTTTTAATTTGATAATATTACTATTTATTCATAATGGTTATTTCGAAGATTAATGACTATTGATTTTCTGTGATCTTGATATATTATTTCTTCATTTGGAAAACTTAAATTTGGGGCTTAGTATTCCAAAATTATGAGGTGTTTTAAAGACATTTGGATCTCTTTGGAATGAGTTTGTGAAGTAAATTTTATTAAACTGTGAAAAGCATATATGTACAAAAGATGTATATTTCTTCCATAGGAGACGTATCCATAAGGGATATCATTAATGCTACTTTCAGAGCATCCTGGTTAGCTCAACAAATTAAGCTGGCCAAAACACAATATATGGATGGAATTAATCTAGACAAGAAGTTGCTCGTTCATCACCTGAATATTATGCGTTAACTGCTTTAGTCAAAGAAACTGCAGACTCTTTCCATTGTGAAATTGAGGGATCACAGGTAAAAATTCATTTGTTGGTTTTTGGAAACCCCTTATTTTTCCTATCAAAATGTATCCATGAAGGTATGGCAAATAGAGTCTCAGTTTTATTGAGTAGGAAGAGTTTCAGTACATCCTAAAAAATTTTCTGGAACTTTTGAGGTTCTTAACTAGAGAAGTTTTATAAAATTTTAAGGTGCCAAATCTGTTCTTTATTCACATCAGGATACAATACTGGAATTGCCCCACCTACTTGCCTTGCAGCAGAGCTAGAAATATTAGATAGGCAATGGGAATCAGGAAGGATTTAGCTGCCCAGGCTCTGCTTTCATCAGTGCAGGACAGAAACAACTCTTGCCTATGAGTAGAGGTAGTTCTGGGGAAGTGTCTCACTTGCTCCATAGACTCTGAATTACTTTGCAAAGCACCCAAGCCCAGTAAGGCTCAAAGCCTAATTCCATAGAACTTGTCAGTGCTATGACAAAAGGCAGTATTCTTCCCTACTACCATAATGAGCATGATCAGAGAGAAGATCACAACATAAGACATCTTGCCAGGCAATGTGTGAGTAACAGGACAGTGTGACCCCAGAACAGTGATTCTCAAAACTGGTCATACACCAAGATAACCAGGAATCTTAAAAAAATTAAACACACGCACGTACACTGGATCCCACTCCCAGAGATTCTTATTCAGAGAAATGCAAACCAAAACTACAATGAGGTGTCACCTCACACCAGTCAGAATGGCCATCATTAAAAACTCTACAGGGCTTCCCTGGTGGTGCAGTGGTTGAGAATCTGCCTGCTAATGCAGGGGACACGGGTTCGAGCCCTGGTCTTGGAGGATCCCACACGCCACAGAGCAACTAGGCCTGTGAGCCACAACTACTGAGCCTGTGCGTCTGGAGCCTGTTCTCCGCAACAAGAGAGGCTGCGATAGTGAGAGGCCTGCGCACCGCAATGAAGAGAGGCCCCCGCTTGCCACAACTAGAGAAAGCCCTCGCACAGAAACGAAGACCCAACACAGCAAAAATAAATAAATAATTAATAAACTCCTACCCCCAACATCTTCTTTAAAAAAAAAAAAAGTCTACACATAATAAATGCTGGAGAGGGAGTGGAGAAAAAGGAACCCTCCTACACTGTTGATGGGAATGTAAATTGGTGCAGCCACTATGGAGAACAGTATGGAGATTCCTTAAAAAACTAAAAATAGAGTTGCCATATGATCCTGCAGTCCCACTCCTGGGCATATACCCAGACAAAACTATAATTCGAAAAGATATATTCACCTCAGTGTTCACAGCAGCACTATTTACAATAGCCAACACATGGAAGCAACCTAAATGTCTGCTGACAGGTGACTGGATAAAGAAGATGTGGTATATATATACCATGGAATATTACTCAGCCATAAAAAAGAATGAAATAGTGCCATTTGCAGCAACATGGATGGACCTAGAGATAATCATATTAAATGAAGTCAGACAGAGACAAATATCATATGTTATCAATTATATGTGGAATCTAAAAAATGATACAAATAAACTTATTTACAAAACAGAAATAGACTCACAGACAAAGAAAACAAACTTATGATTACCAAAGGGGATAGCAGTGGGGGGGGAGGTAGGGGGGAGATAAATTAGTAGTTTGGGATTAACATATACACACTACTATATACAAAACAGATAAACAAAAAGGACCTACTGTATAGCACAGGGAACTATATTCAATATCTTGTAATAACCTGTAATGGAAAAGAATCTGAAAAAGAATAGGTATATATATATGTACAACTGAATCACTTTGCTGTACACCTGAAACTAACACAACACTTTAAATTAACTATATGTCAATAAAAAAGTATATTACAGAAATTATAAAGGAACACATTATGATGTTTCCTTCTTAAAAAAAACTATACAATAATTTGTTAGTGGACACATAAAAAATGATGTAAATTTTGACATCCAAAACATAAAATGTTGGGTGGTGGAGTATAAAAATGTAGAGCTTTTGTATGTGTTCTAAGTTGTTAACAGTTTAAAATAGACTGTTGTAACTATAAGATGTTTTAAAAAGTTATTTTTTCAGGTGTACAACATAAGGATTTGATATTTGTATATACTGCAAAATGATCACCACAATAAGTCTAGTTAACTTCCATCACCATACATAGTTACAAAATTTTTTTTTAATGTAAACCACATGATAACCACAAAGCAAAAACCTACATTAGATATAGAAAAGAAAATCAGAGAGGAATCAAGCATGCCACTACAGGGAATCACAAATCACAAAGAAAGAGAGCAAGAAAAGAAGAAAGGAAAAAAGGAATTAGAAAATAGCCAGTAAACAATTAACAAAATGGCAATATTACGTAGAAACCTATCAGTAATTACTTTAAATGGACTAAATTCTTGAATCAAAAGACACAGAGTGGCTGACTGGATTAAAAAAAACAAGATCCAACTATAAGCAGCCTATAAGAGACTCACTTCAGCTTTAAGGACACACATAGACTAAAAATGAAAGGATTGAAAAACTAGTTCCAGGCAAATGGAAACCAAAAGTGAGCAGGGGCAGCTATATTTATATAAGACAAAATAGACTTTAAGCCAAAAATGGTAACAAGAGACAAAGTTCATTATATAATTATAAAAGGGTCAGTTCATCAAGAAGATATAATAATTTCAAATATTTATTGTGCGTGCTCCACATCAGAGCACCCAAGTATATTAAATAAACACTAAGATATCTGAAGGGAGAAACGGAGAGCAATATAATATTAGTTGAGGACTTTAGTACTCCACTTTCAGCAATGGACAGCTTATTCAGACAGATAATCAATAGAGAAACATCAATAAGGAAACTAGTTAGATACAGTTAGGCTGGTAAAAGGTATAAACTTTGTTGTAAGATGAATAAGGTCTGAGGATTTAGTGCATAACATGATGACTATAGTTGATTGTACTGTATTGTATAATTTGAAATTTGCTGAGAGTAGAATTTTAGTGCTATCACCAAAATAAATAAATAAATAAATAAATAATAAATAAATAAATAAGGTGATGGCTATGTTAATTAACTTGACGGGAATACTTTTGCATATATATGCATATCATCATATTGTACACTTAAAATATATTACAATTTTACTTGTCTATTATACCTCAGTAAAGCTGAGAAAAAACTGCTAGGCTAGACAGTGAGTTTTCTGAAGGCAGGGACCAGTTCCTTGATGTCTAACACAATGTTTAAAAATTACTTATTGAATATATGAATGATACCTGCCTTTCAAAATTTTAAGTCTAGTTAAGTAGGATATATATAGTATAAACTAATGACTCTAAATCTATCTCAGAATCACCTGGGAGTGCTTGTTAAAAATATGCCCATAAGTTGATTCTGGCATAGATTCTAGGAACTGTATTTTTACCAAGTGTGATAGGTGATTCTGGTGTAGTTGGTCAACATGAATTTGAGAATCACTGGAAAAAATAATAAATGATGTAACGATCAACATCTCTGTGGCTTTAGAGAAGTAGGGAAGGTTTGTCAGTGTGGAATTCAGCTTTTCAGATGAGTACAATTTAGATCAAGAATAGCAAATACCTGGTATGCAAGCCACCATACTCCTCTCCTCACACATTCTGGTCTCAAACTTTTCCTTCATTCTCTAGATTGCTGTTGTTAATAGGGTAGAATTAATGTATGGGAACTTATTTGCTAGTCCTGATTAAGCTATAGTGAAAGAGCAAGGGGGGAGAGACTGAGCAAAGACTGCAGTAGGAATGTCTATTTCCATGTTTGAGGGGCAAGTAGAGCAATTTGGGCTACTATGTCAAGTTCATGTTAGTTAAGTTAGTGGAAAGTACAGTTGCCAAGACGAACCAGATTGTGGAAGATCCAGGATGTGACACTGAAGAGTATGCATTTTATTCTGTATGTAATGGGTAATGTGTATAGAAAGTATTTGGGGAAGATTATTTATGGTAGTATGTAAAAAAGTCTAGAGGAGAAAGAGAGACCTGTAAGGACTAACCCAGTAATCCAATAACTTGGAATTTATGGTTTGAATTGGGATGATGGCATAACCCTAACACTCAGCAAGTGTTCAATATTCATTGAATTAATTAATTAATGGAAAGGAATGGGCAGAAAAACTGTGAGGCCACCTAAAGGAAAATGTGAGATTAATTATGGGGTGTGAGGGAAGAAGAGTCAGAAAATGGCCCAAAGGTTCTTAAACTGGTGACCAGAAAAAAATGACTAATACAGAGCCTCAGGAAGGAGAAATGAGTTTTTGGGAAAAGATGATAATTTAGGATTATAGAATTTGTGATCACAGAATTAAAGAGCTAGAAGTGCTCTTGAAGAATTCTTTCTACACCTTCATTGTTACATGTGGGAAAACAGATCAGATATTTAAAATGAAATAACCTAGTTATAAGAGAGCCAAGATAAGAACCAAAGTCTTTTGATTTCTTTTCTAATTTCTTTTCTAATAATGCTGCCTTCTCAAAAATATGAGATTAACCATGACAGGAAACCCAGATGAAAATATTCTCACTGCTCAGGAGGAAACCCAGGTGAAAATATTCTCACTGCTCAGGAGAGAGGTAAGGACTTACAAAACGGATTTGAAATTTACCTGCTTAGAGGTAATCACTTTCTCTATTACCTTATTATACTTCCATTTTGTAAGAGGGGACAGCGATAAAATGAAGTCCAATATGTAAAAATTTCACTTTATAACCTATTTTGCTGGAGAGCTTTGGGGAAAGCCTAGACTTACAAAGCAGAGCTTCCTTTAGTGTTAATGAAAGAATTACAGAGAGAATTTTGAGAAAGTCCTAAAAAGATTTATAGTAGAATAAATTAGCCAAAGTGTAAAAATTTAACTAAAATACCTAAATTTTTGTAATATTAATCAATACATTTACTGAGAGCCTAATTAAGAAGAAAACTTTTAATGAAGCTTTACAATGTTTGCAGACCTATATTAATAAAGCTAATTAATATTCAGTTAAGGCAATAAATCTTTTTTCTTTTACATTAGGTCTTGGAACTTATTTATTTTATAAATGAAAGTTTGACCCTTTGACCAACATCTTAAGGCAATAAATCTTTTTTGCCTCTCACCCCTGTGGCCTCTCCCGTTGCGGAGCATAGGCTTCGGATGCGCAGGCCCAGCAGCCATGGCTCACGGGCCCAGCCGCTCTGCGGCACGTGGGGTCTTCCCGGACCGGGGCCGAACCCATGTCCCCTGCATCGGCAGGCGGACTCTTAACCACTGCGCCACCAGGGAAGCCCGGCAATAAATCTTTTAAAGAGATTCATCCTTATTGAGGACTGGCTCACTATTCAAAATGAAAGATAATTTAACACTCAAGTTTTATTTGAATATTTCCATAAAATAAGACCATTTAAGTGATTTGTTCAACATTTTGAGTTGATTAATTTATACTTGTAGCCATAAAACACCACTACTCTTTAACTATAATGTTGGACTAAACTTACCATGTAAAGTAATTAATTGTAAATCAAGGGCTCAAACTGCCAACACAGTCCAGTAAGCTTGTGCCAAGAGATGACCTATTTAGCTTGCATGATATTTTTAAGAACTTTCGTATTTGAATTCTTTTAGTGTGCTTTTACTCTCTAGTTGCTTATGGGCCCTACCACATCCTACTGTGATTACACCAGTTTCCTTCAGTCAGTCGAGTTGCTAGTCTGTCCTCTGAAGGCATGTGACTTTAAACTCCTCTTCTACACAGTGCCTGCTCCTGGTCATTGTATATGTCCAAATATGCCTGTGTCCAAATATATGTCCATTATCTAAATATATGTCCAAAACATTGTCCAAAATATATGTCTGGGTCAGTCCGTGTAGGCAAAAAATATATTTCTTAGAATTGTTCTAGTTCCATACATGTCAAACCTTAAGTCAGACACATAAGTGGTTCTTTTTGAGGGGGTAAGTAATATGAGGCAAGAGAATATATAATCAACAAAACATCTGCCATAATATGCATATTTGATCATGTTACATAAAATGGTTTTCCCACAGGTAACCTTTGATGTATCTTGGTCTCCAAACTGCTTAGGTAGGAGGTGCTATAATTATACTGGAATTGCAGATGCTTGTGACTTTCTCTTCGTGATGTCTTATGGTGAACGAAGTCTGGTCTGGTCACAATGTATTGCAGGAGCCAATTCTCCCTATACTAAGATATTAACTGGTAAGAATTCACAAAACAATCATTTATCAGCGATATTAATTCTATAACCTCAAACATTAAGATATATTTTAGTATTTCTAAGTCATGTGTATACCTTTTCCATTTGTAATGCTTTCTTGAAACATATAAAAACCTCTTAATTTGAGAGCTTTAAAGTTTACAAAAAGTTTTGAAGTTCTGAAGTTTTCAATTACCTCTAAAAAATCTTGGGAGGTAGGTGTATTATATTGACCCTCTATTATAGATAAGATGAAGGGTGTTAAGTTCTCATGATTGCACAGCTATTAAGTATTATATGGTTGGAACTCAAGCAGGTGTTCTAACTTCAAGTCAACACTCTTGTCAGAAAGTTACACGAAGAAGATATTTGCTTACTAGGAATTTGATAGAATATTTTTGTTGAAATAACCAATGTTAAATAATTTAATAGCAAAGGTAGCTATAATGTGAGTACCTATTATACATGATTGATAGGACTGGCTTTATCTTATTTGGCATTTACTATTAGTACCCATGCTACATTAAAAATTATATTCCTATTAGAATTAAGAGTACTTCTGGGGCTTCCCTGGTGGTGCAGTGGTTGAGAGCCCACCTGCCGATGCAGGGCACACGGGTTCGTGCCCCGGTCCGGGAGGATCCCACATGCCGTGGAGCGGCTAGGCCCGTGAGCCATGGCCTCTGATCCTGCGCGTCCGGAGCCTGTGCTCCGCAACGGGAGAGGCCACAACAGTGAGAGGCCCGCGTACCCATGCCATGGCCGCTGAGCCTGCGCATCCGGAGCCTGTGCTCCGCAACAGGAGAGGCCACAACAGTGAGAGGCCCGCGTACCGCAAGAAAAAAAAAAAAGAGTACTTCTGATCTGTCATTCATATGATGTGGTCTTTGCATTATCCTTTCCAAAGTTTGGATTGGTTTATATCCCATCAACCAATTGAATTAAAGATTGCTTGCTATCTTTTGGACTTAAATGAGATTTTCTGGGATAGTTAGCATAGATTTAAGTGTTGAGTAATAAATAAAAATTATTTTCTTTTTCATATAGAGGTAAAATCATAGAACCTGGCCTCATTTTATCATGTCCTAATTGTCTGGATAGAATAGTCTGATCATAAGCATATACTATTTAAAATTTGAAAAATAATTTGTGTTATAATACAAAATAATTATTTAACCCAATGTTTGCCAACTGTGTTTATGAAAGAGATGATAATTATGTATATCAATAAAAGGTTCATTATAAATATGTTTGGGAAATGATGCATACTCCACCCCTCTCTTGGATATTTAACAGTACACAATAACTTTAAAGCCTCTGAAAAACAGCAAATTTACTCAACATTCTAGCTAATCTTGGAACATATCTTGGTGGGAAAACGTAATTTGCAGCATGGGCAAGAAAGGGATTGATAGTACCAGGAATTTGTTCATTTTTCTCTTTGTTTCCTCTAACTACAGATTATCTGCTACAGAGTAAGATGGGGTCATTCCTTATCCCAAGCTGTAATCCATGCTTATAGGATATTGATAAAATGTGGAACACTTGTGTGTTCTGTAAGTAATTGTGAGACCACACCTGCCAGAAAGGTTAAGACTTATAGAACTTTTTTAAAGCTTTAGAATCTAGAATATCAAATCCATGCCTTAGCACTTAATAGACACAATTAGCATGCTTTCCTAAAATGTGTCATTGTTACTAAAATGTGCCATTGTTCCTAAAATTAAATTTTGTGAATTTTTTGCTTCAATTTGATCTATATTGTTTTGAATGTTTTCTATTATTCAAAAAGAAATTGTTTAGAAAGTGATACCAAATTTATCGTTCTTAAGAGATGACTTTTATAATATATTCGAGAAACACCATTATTAGTATTTTACATAAATGTACCTGTTGTTACAAACTTGGATTCTGAGTGGTTGCATATCTTGTATGAACACATTAGTAGACATATGAAGAGAAAAAAATATGCTTTTTCTGTTCCTATTTGATTAGGATATGATGACTACATCAAGATAGGCATTAACCCTAAGAAACTTGTAATGGGTATTCCCTGGTATGGTTATGATTATACCTGCCAAACTCTATCAGCGGTAAGAACAGATCATTTCTTATATAATTTTTTTCTCTTTCTATTATATTTTTTAGAGTCTGTTTTGTTTCCTCTATATAAACTTCATTTTATTTATAATTTAGAAATTTCTCTCTATATAGAATATATATACTTTATTGAGAATTTATTTAATATAGTTTGAGACTAAAATGTAGACAGTTTATTTTATTTTATTTTATTTTATTTTATTTATTATTTTTTTTTTTTGCGGTACGCGGGCTTCTCACTGCTGTGGCCTCTCCCGTTGCGGAGCACAGGCTCCGGACACGCCGGCCCAGCGGCCATGGCTCACGGGCCCAGCCGCTCCGCGGCACGCGGGATCTTCCCGGACCGGGGCACGAACCCGTGTCCCCTGCATCGGCAGGCGGACTCTCAACCACTGCGCCACCAGGGAAGCCCCTAGACAGTTTATTTTAAATAATTAAATCCCATACAAGTTTCTGAATATTATATTTGTATTTAGTAATGAAATTTAACTTTTATTCCATATAGTCAGGTTATCTATTTATAGTATATATTTTATGTCTAATAAATAAGTTTATTATAGTTTTGGATTTGCTTAATTGCTTAAGATTTGCTTAATTGATAATCTATAACATAAACATTTTTGCATTTCTAGAATCATGTTTGTACCGCTGCAAAATACCCTTGTAAAGATGCTGTATACCGTCAGGTGGCCTATCAAATGATCATGAAGCAAGTAAATAGCTCTACTTCTGGAAGACTGCGGGATAAAATTCAGCAGTCTCCTTATTATCACTATCAAGTAAGACTTTTCACAAGTTATCAATCTTTAGTTTTCATAATTGTGTATTTTCATAATTACATATTTGAAAGTAAGATTTTCTATCAGTTTTCTTATAGGGTACAACATACAGACTGCTGTTTACATGAGTAGACTTGTCTTTGAATCTGTGTAATCAGGAACTTTACTTCCCTTGTGAGCAATTCAAGTTATGCTAATAGTGGAACTGCTCTGCATGGGCCACTTGTCATTTTAGATGATATAATAAAAACATGTGTATCACAAACAGGATTTCCTTAAGAGCTGTCAATTATAAATATGTCTGTGGCTTTTGAAAGAGCTTTGGGCCAAAATGGGTTACTTGCTCTGAAAACCTCTATTTCAAAGTAGCCTCAAAATTCTGATGAGGCTCTTATATAGGGAGGAATGAGGCTGAGAACAGGAGATGTGTCATCAGGGACTTCACAATGGAAAATGGTATCATTTCAAATTTATTCCACAATTCAAACTATGTGACATTCAACAAAATTAAAAATTAGAGACAGAAAAATATTACAAACAGAAACTTGAAGAAACAGAGTAAATGACTAGCAATTCTGTCAGGTAGTGTTTGATAAATAGGAATTGCCATACCAAAGGGACAAAGAAAAGTTATCTTTTCCATAGTTTACCTTTAGCATAATAAAAACTTTTTCACACCTCAAAAATCTAAGTACAAACCATCTTTAATTTACCTTGAATTATGTTACTACAAAAGGAACCCTAAAATGATATGATGAATGTTAATTCCAGCAACAATTTATATTTCTTTCTAATGGTCTGGTACCCATTTACAAAAGGATGACTGCAAATATACATATTTAATAAATTATAATTGATGTACATGTACAAATGTATAATTGATGTAATAAATTATAATTGATGTATAATTGATGCCTGTATATCAATTATGTAGAAAGCTTTAGTGTAGAGCTTTTTAAACTTTAGAATCTTAAGTATAAACATTAAACTAGGGTACACTGTGATCCTGTCTTTACCAAACAGTATTTATAGAACTCTGTTCTGGGAACTGTTAATAACACATAGACACACACACACCCACACACACTAGTGGTTACCAGTGGGAAGAGTAGGGGCGATGGGCAAGACAGGGGTGGGGGAGTGGGAGGTACAAACTGTTGGGTATAAGATAGGCCCAAGGATGTATTGTACAACACAGGGAATATAGCCAGTATTTTGTAATAACTGTAAATGGAAAGTAACCTTTAAAATTGTATAATTTTTTTTCATTTTAAAGATTAAACTTAAAAAGAATATACTAAAAAAACACAAACACACACACACAAACACACACAAATACACATGCATGTGTCATGGCCAAATATATTTGGAAAACACTACAAACTGTAAGTCTCTCTTGAGATTTATAATATACAACATTATATTCAAGGATTTAAAATGTACTGTAGTACATAAAGCCATTTAATTGTTTAACATAGAACCCTGTTTCCTAGCACTCTTAGAAACATGCAGGGGAACAGTGTTTCATGGATATCAGTTTGGTAAAGGGTTTGTTTAACCAATTATACATAGTTTGGAAATACGTAATTTAGAATAAATACCCTATGATGTACTGTTTTTTGTAATTCCTGACTTATTTTTTCCTTAATGCATAAGAAGACACATTCTTTAAGATTTTAGAACTCAGGAAACATTTTGATGAACCTTGAAAACCATTCATTTAATGGCACTTCAGACAACCATCTATTTATAACCAATTTGTTCTTCTTCATTCATTGTAAAATTCCACAGCAACCCAAATCAAGTTTTTGTTTTAACTGAAGAGAATCATTCTGCTTTCTTATGCTGTCTCAGCAATAGCAGCTTCATCTTACACTCAATATTCTTGGAGGCATACATTCCTTAACCAGACATCTGTCAAACTTACATATACTCAGTTTTTTATCCTTTGATCCTTCACTATTTGAGGCATTTGAAATTTCTTAACATATCAAAAAGGCTCAAAGTACTAGCTAGAATGATGGCAAAATTCAAAGGTGCATGTCTTTGGGTTTGCCCCTGACTCTACAAAAATAAATCTTTCTATATTTAGGTACAGGTTTTGCAAGTTGCCTTTTAATATTGAATCACAATTGGAACTAGAGCATGTATAGCTTTTTCTAGTTCTAAAGATTTTAAAGAATGGAATATAAGATATAGTATGAGATATGCTTGTATGTAATGAATCTACTATACTTAAATATACCATAGCTTATTCATTTACCAAGTGACTATTGTCCTTTAAAGCAGTCATCTTAGGAGATGATTCTAATTCTCGTGGTGCTACCATAAATAGAAATATTACTGGTATTCATTGAGAACTGTCTTTAAAGAGTTCCCCAGACGTATATAAAAATCAGTAAATTATTTTAAATCACAGATCATTCTATTTTTACTTCCTATCTTTTTCTCTTCCTTTACCCTTTTGCCTAATTCTGCTCCTTTCCTCTTTCTTTTAACCTTTATCCATAGCTTACATACCTTCTAAAAGAGACGGTGTTTAGCACTAGATAGAGGCAAGTGATGCTGGGGAGAAGGACTTTACAGGGTGGAAGGTGAGCATAAGACTACTTTCTAGTTTGCGGTTCTTAGGTGGGTGCCTAAGTCACCCATGGGGTCCAGACCCAACAGGCTCTTAGACTCAATTCTGTAAGACCTAGAAAAGGAGATGTTTTCTTTGTCCACTGCCATTCATCATAAACAAAATCACCTGTTGAGCTCTTAACTAGGCACATTTCCAGGAACTGTAAGGAAATCCAAAAAAGTATATAAGCTGGTTTTAGAGGGCAAAAGCAGTGATTCTCCTTAACCTTGGCTACATATCAGAATCACCTAATGGAACATTAAAACATAACATAAAGAAACAAATAAATATATGTTATAGCACTAGCCCTGGAAGATTTTGATTCAATAGGTTTCATGTGGTGTGGGTCCCATGAACCT